GAAATATTTGGCAATTGTTAAGCGGAAGCTGAAAAAGACTGGAAAAGTGACTCGGGATTCTACAGAGATGAAGAGATGGTGGAATAAAATGGCCGCTCAAGTTGACAAACAGAGTTTCCAAAAGTTGATGCGAGGTATTTCAAGAAAAGTTCGTCATTTCAGCATAACTAAAATGAGAGTAAGACTGTTGATATTTTTCCTGAAAGTGCAATAAAAAAAAAACCTTTATTTTGACTGCTCATCTGTTTTATTTCATCAAAACAATCCCGAGAAGTCCAGAGAAGTTCAGGGAAGTTAAGAGATTGTTTAACACGACATTGGACCTCCCGTGATCACACTGGACAACAAACCGGACTAGGTTAAACAAAATATTCCTAAAAGAAGGCAATCTGGCCTCTTATATATCAAAACTACTTCTACTACTACATAGGGGAAATGGGTCTAATGTTGGCTTATGGATCTAAGATTGGACCCATCGCAAAAATTTGCTATTTATCAATTTTATCTAGATGAACGATGCGTGGGACGGTACTAATGGATATTTTTGGTCGCTGAATTTATGTATAGGTTCAAATTAGGTTCATTTAGGCCGACATTTCATCCATTTCTCCTTTATCAAAAATGAGAAAAGAAAAGAAAATTCTTGTTAGAAACTCCTATAAACTTATGCCTAAAAGGATTTAGATACATGGTCTAAAATTGCGAAAAATATTCTACATCATTTATGCATGTTCTCTAAATACTACTACGATATTATCACAAAACCACAACCCCCTTTGCTGAATCCCTATGCCCGGCCATGCAATAACGATAACCCTAGAGTGACGCCGAATGAAATGGAATCGTGCCGTGATAAAACTGCCCCCATCCAGCTGTTGATTGGTTGTAAATTGTCTTCCACCAAAGACTTCATTAGTGTTCTCGGACAAAGTGAATCCATCACAATTGCCTGTCTGAAGAGAAAAATTTTTCGCTTGCATCTCCAAATCCAATGAAATATAAAATTAATGATCTATCGATCCCGTTGTTCAAATTTCCCCATCCCCATGGCAAAGCCTGCATGACCGGAAAATCCGAGAAGATTTGCCTGCCTTTCACCAACGACGACGACGACGACGAGTGGTCCTTAACCCAGTAGCTGGAACAGGCCAGATAGAAGACACACAATAAAATACGAACCTCGATAGCCCGAAATCCCGCAGAATGACATTTCACTCGCCTCGAGAATTGACCCGTCCATTCCGTTTCTTTCCGGTAGCTTATACCTATACCTATACCTTCCGACAATATTTCTTCCACCAGTAGCAGCACACTTTGAGAATCCCAAAGGCGGATGGGATAGTTTGGATCCGGGGTCATTATTACATACACACATACACACATACATACATACACTACACTGAGAGGTATTGAAAATCGAAACGTGAAATTGAAAAACTGACACTGCTTTTGGGAACTGGTCAGCTATAAAATCCATTATTTTATTTTCCTTGCTCGCTTTTTACTAGATATTTGGGATTTCCTGGGATAGGTACCGATCGGTGTGATTGCGAAATGTGGGTTGAAAGGGGGTTGGGCTGAAGACGAAATGGTGTTATCTCGTTATGTTTGCCAACTGCAGTTCGATCTCGATTCTCCTGTGTGGACACTTGAGGCTATATTTATTTTCCATTGACGACGCTTTTTGGGGAACCAGCTGCAGCCCTTGCTTCTGCTAGTGTTGGTGCGGGGGTGGTGAAGTAAGCAGGAAATAGATTCTCTCGGACCGAATTGCTGCTGCTGTTGCTAAGATGGGATGGGAAACCTTTTGGAACCGTATATGGATGGTCTTCTTTTTAATTAGGGGATGGCAGATTTCGACCTCGTTTCGATTGTTTATTTATAGTAATTGGTGCTTGTTGAAAACCGAATTGGTGCCGATAGTTAATGGAACTTTCAGATACACCCGAGCTTCAATTTTCTACTGTTTCCCATGGTTAAGAATCAAATGAAAATCACCATATAATCCTATCATAAGCTTAATTGGTATATCGACGTATGTGTTCCATAAATTTGGGTAAATTGCAGCTCTTCGAGAGATCTGCAGGAGTTACCGCAGTTTCAAAATGCCATTAACTAAGCTCCGAATCAATTCACCGCGTAAAATGCATTAATCTTCCACAAATTAACACACGGTTAGGAAAACGATGATGATGATGGCAGATGAATGATCACCTAAGCGGCGTCGGTGGTGTAGTGGTAAGCGTGAGTGCCTCTCACCCCAAAAGGCCTGGGTTCAATCCCAGTTGACGCCGCCGTGAATGTTTTCCTTCATTTTCAACCTCTCCAATGATGATGATGGAAAAATGTTAAACGTGCCAGCGGGGGAAATATGGACCTTTCAAAATAAATTCAATGGTTTCTCATCCAAAATTACTAGATTGGCTTGTGATCAATTGCTGCTGGAAAAGTACAAGTAGGAGCGTATTACACCCAGTTCCCCTAGATCTACCTTAAAGTAAAAAATAGCATCGCACTGCAGGGGATTCTCCAAGGATAACCTTTTGTGTGTTCCGACGGTTCCGACAGATTCGATCGCTTTTTTATGCTCACCCGCATCTTTCGATTTACAACAGAGCCAGCCTCCTCCAAGGGTTCCCCAAAAGGATCACGAAATGATTTGCAAATCGAATCATTCCCTCTGTCTCGGGCTGTGTTCGAAAGTGGGGATCTGGTGTTTTTTTTTTCACTTCTTCGGTTCTCTTTGCGCTATCGGCACCGCGGCCATGTCAGACCGGGAAGATTTGTGGTTTCATGCTAGTGATTGGATTTATTGCTCGTAAGCGAAGTTTATTTGCCTAACGGTTAGTAGTTAGGGGAGAGCTAGTCGGAAATTTTCCGAAAGCTGCCAATTGGATTTGCATTTTACAGCGGCCGGGAATCAGCGAGGGAGCCAAGGTTTTGGATGAATTAGGCAATCTCTGGTTTGTTTTACGCTTTTTTTTATGCTGGTGGGGTGAGGGAATTGCCTATTTGTAATACCGTTGTTAGGATGAAGTTTAACGATCCGATGAAGCGTGAAGGATCATCGGCGGAGAAAGTTGTTGCTCGTTTTTTGAGATCAGAAAAGTTCTGTTTCACTTAACAGAATTAAATAATCCTAGAAATGCTTAAATGTACTAAAATTGTGATTCTCCGAACAATTTCCTGGACTTAAGGTGAAGTTAATATATAATCGTGATTTCAATTATTTGACGAATGTATCCATTTCAAAGAATAAATATATATTCCTTTCCCAATTCAATGCATTTCCCTTCATTCGGCTGGATAAAAAAAAAACAGCTAAACCATTATTTCACCCTTCGCCTACACACATAATGCAATTTGGCACACATCGTATAAAATTTATTGCCATTAGAGCACCTTTCTCCGTATTGCGAAGAAATAAAAACTAAACCAACATGACGTGCGCTGTTTTTCCGTCCACCATCATCGACAGAAAAAGCAATTTTCGCACTCAACTTTCTATACCCTGACGCAGGGCCGATGTTTGTGAGCATGTCTGTTGACATGAAGTAATGTGTACCGAGTAATATTTCTCCTCCTGTTGCAGCAGCACCGGCAGAGATTTGTTCGTTCAGGTGAACCTTACTAGCTCGGGTCAGCAAATAAGCTGACAATAATAGTTTTATGTTTCGAGATAAATAAAAAGTGAGGTGACGACAGCCGGAAGGTGCCACTTCGACGGGTGTTTCTTTATGGTGCTATTTTTTCGCCGGGAGGGATATTTTTGTTTTCGATCTTTATGATAGAAAATGTGTTTAGCAGTTTTATAGAGAGACTACTTTTTCGTAGAAATTTGGGTGGGTATTTTATATTTTCATAGATGGATGAACTGAGCAAAATAGAAGTTGAGATCAGGGATCGGGTGCTACTAATATATCTGCGAGTAAAACACGCACTGTTAGGAGACAGCACTTTCATTTCCAAAGAGACGAGAAAGAGCATTTCAAATCGTGCAGCACATTTCATTTTGCTCGTGTTGGAGAGCTGCTGCTCCAAACCAGTGCTGTAAATTCTCAAAATCATTTGAACATTTTTGATGAAAATGAGAAAAGTAGCTATTCGCTATCAAAGGGGACCTCCTCCGAATGGGTGATATCAGTTGTTTAGTCATTTGACGAAGGCATGGATCATTCTCATTTGAGAAACGCTATATATCATTCGATTGAGTGTAACCTACACACAAACGGAGCTCTGGTCGACATTCCGGCGAAAAAGCTAAGCCAACCCGACACCAACCTGACTTCTATCAAACCCCAACCCGATGTTGACCCGACATTGACCAGACATAAACCCAAAATTGACCCGACATTAACACGACATTGGGTCGACATCGACCTTAAATTAGCCTTACATTGATCCGACATCGGGTCGACTTGTCTGTTCGGGACCATTTTCCTGGATTTCTTCCATACTCCACTGTCGTATATCAAATGATACTGAGTGACTCAATTGACAGTGACAATGAGCTTCGAATGAGAAAGGGGCTCTTCAAATTATGGTCATGTGAGAATTCGTTTACAAAGAATTGATTGAATGGTTGTACTGGTTCATCTTCAATCGAATGATATGAAAATTTACAGCACTGGCTCCAACACAGTAAAATCTCTCTCTCGTTCTCTTTTGCTTTATTTGAGAGTGTGCTTTTGCTATAGGTGTTTCCTGTGGGTAGGTAAGGGAGAATGGTACATAACGCACCCCCGGGGTAGAACGCACTTTTCCATTTTGTTTTGAGTTTTTCTTGGCATTTTTAATCCAATTCTTGGATTCATGCAGCATTTCGAGTTCAGATGCTATGCTGGAAGTGCTGCTTGATAAGACATCAAAAAAGTAGCAAAAGAGCCATTAAAAACAGTAATGAAAGTGAGCTGGTGCGTTCTGCCCAGGGGATGCGTTGAGTATCATTGTCCCCTACTGGCATTTTTTTCAAGCTGCAAGACAATCAGTGTAAAGTTGTCATGGCGGAAGGTAGCAGATATAAGAAGCGCAAGCCAGAAATTGATTTGTTCAATGTCGACGAACAAAAAAAAGTGGCAACGTGTAAAATTTGCGGAAAACTGGTGAAATCGTTACGCAATTTTACATACGTGAGGCATTATACGACTCAGCACAAGGAAATTGCCAAAGAAAACGGATTGCTGACCGAATTTGAAAACGGCTTGAATGTGGTGGCAGAAGAGGCAATAGACAGTATTACCGGTAACAAGAAAATTTCGGTGAAACTCAACAACAAGGTGTACACCAAATCACTTGTTGAACTAGTTACGGTCAACGGTGTTCCATTGAAAGTACTCGATTGTCCCGCGCTTCGCAGAATCTTCGATCCGGTAGAGAAAGGTTTGAAGGAAAAGTTTGGCCAAGGTACAGAACGCGTTACTTCTCGGTCAATTAAACCGATTCTGGGAAATGTATCCGAAAAGCTGAAGAATCGAATCATGGCTGAAGTGAAATGGAAAATGATTTGCCTGAAACTTGACATTGCCACACGATTGTGCCGTGACGTTCTTTGTATAAATGTTCAATTTATCGAGAAGAACACAATAAAAATTCGCACTTTGTCTATGGTTGAGCTAAAAGATCGGCATACAGCAGAGCACCTTGAAAAAGCGGTGCTTGAAACTTTGTCGGCATACAAAATAAACGTGTCACAAATATTCAGTTGCACAACGGACAACGGTTCCAATATGCTGGCAACCAACAAGAGATTTGCAGTTAGGCAACAGGAGTCGGAAGTCTTAAACTTGATCAAGGAGGACAGCACTTTGGACGGGTAAGTATGATTTGCATAGATTTATTAGCTAATTTAAAAAATACCCTTTACAGAATCAACTCAATTAATGATGCTTCAGATGACGACAGCGATGATGACACAGGTAATTCGGACGGAAATGAGGATAACGAATCTGATGATTTCGAAGAGTCTGAGCACGAAATAAGTGTTATGAATAAAGTAGCACCAATATTTTGTGGAGTACGTTGTGCTGCTCACACTGCACAACTAGCAGTATCAGACACTATAAAAGAAGGAAAACTAAAAAAGTGTCTGAACTCCATTCAGGCATTCGTCAAGAAATTGAGAAAAATGCCTTACAAGAATCTCTTCAAGTTGAACAACAAGGAAATTCCACAACTCAGTTGCGAGACGCGTTGGAATTCATGGTACGATATGGTTTTATCTTTGAAATCTCAAAAAGAATTCATTTGCTCGATAACTAAAAATGACAAGGAATGTGCCATACCCAACGAAACATGGAACTTCATCGACAATTTTGTCGTGGGTTTTGAACCCATGTCACAACTGACGTTAGCTCTCCAGTCATCACAACTCACGTTCGGTGATTTTTATTTGCTCTGGCTGCGTTGCAAATTGCTCCTGGAGAAGACTGATACTCCACTATCCAGGCAATTGTTGACGAAAATGAAAAACCGAGAATCAGCTCTAACAGACAACAAAGCATTTTTGGCAGCAATTTATCTTGATCAACGTATTAACTATCGGGACACTCCTCTGATTTCTGAAGAACAACGTCAATATGCCCTGGTAACCATGGATATTAAAATTGAACAGATAAAGAAAAAAAATGTGGGCTATATTTTATACACAATACTATTTACAGGAACACTTGAAACAAACTTGGCGGAGCATTCAGCGTGTTGCTCATGGCGGTTTAACAAACGTGTCCATGGAGGACCCCATGGAAGGACCAAGTTCAAACGACGACATTTTGGAAGATTTCTTTCGTTCACATGAGGTTTCACATGATTCCAACATCTCGACATGCTTGTTTGATGAACTGGAGGATTTGAGCCGTTTACCTCGCCTAAAATTGGAAAGGAGTCAGTCAATCTTGGACTTTTGGTACAGTCAAAAGCAAGGAAAACCAGACATGTATTCATTGGCGGCAGTAGTACTCTCTACACCGGCCACACAAGTTTCGACTGAACGGGCTTTCAGCACTTTGGCGTTTATTCTAACCAAACTGAGGACACGTTTGAGTGAAACCACATTGTCAAACATTTTATTGATAAGATTGAATGCCGAATTATTCCAACAGCTAAACATTTAGCATATTATTCATTATTTTCATTGGCATTGCTGTTGCAATGGTTAACATACTCATTTTATATCTGTTGAACTGTTTCATTTTTTTTTTCATTTGCTGAAACTAGAGAAATAAAGATTGAATTAATAAGCTAAACTCAATTGCTTTTGAATGTTTATGGTATTACGAGGCAAGATCGACCTGGAGCAAGATTAGCACCCTTAAATGTTACATAAACAATTCCGCATTTTTTTTAAACTGCGCATACGTACCCTTAAACAGTGATCCTTAGATACAACGTTCCAAAACTAATTTAGAAATATTCAATAATTACCAAAAAATTGATAAAATATGCCGAACGAAAAAAAAATACTCTCTATTTGCTATAACCACTATATTTTTTTTTTGATACTACTTTAAATTTATGGTTCAACTTAGTACTGGTATTTTATTTTGATAAACTTAGGAATATCATAATATTTTTTTTTTTAATTTAAAAACATTATGTGAGAATAAATTTTGCTAAAGGTGCACATGTTCCCTCACACGGATGCTCATCTTGACCCGGGGTATCAAAGAACTGTGTAAATACGTTGGTTTTTAAATTCGTTTTGTAAATAGTCAATATTGAATACATTGAACTATATCAACCCTAGGGAGCTAAATAAGACATAAAATAACTAGTCAGACAATATTTTAATGTATTAATTGCGATTATTAGATGTTAAAAAAAATATCCTTAAGATGGCGATCATGCCCTGTCCTGCCATATTTGTATCATTATTTGTTTGTTTGTTTTAGTTTTCATTAACCGATTCAGGGTCGCCCTAGCTCAGTCGACCATACTGGAGGTGGCTTGGTTCGATTCCCAGCCCGGTCTAGACAGTTTTGTGGAAGTGCTCAAAGAACAATAAGTTGAGAACTGGTGAAAAGTCCCACTGGAGTGTAATAAGAACCAGAAAAGAATAATTCACAGATAGAATAATTCACCGTATTCAGATAATTGCTCATCTGTTACATTATTCAACCATATAATTGAATTGGGTTCCAAATTCAGGCGCAGTTGAAGTAAATTTTTAGCATTAGTTAATTTAGATTGAAATATAGGCATATTTCAATCCAAATATGACAATTGACAACTGACAAAAATTGTTCACCTCACCTCATATACCGTGCAGAATAGACCTGATAGTTTACGAGAAACATTTTGTATTATTCAGGACTTAGCCTCATTTATCACAATATGCATGTTTTTTTCTGTTTAGATGATTTGCATACTACTTTAAAAGTTTAAAAAGAAATTATATTTTATCGCAGCAAATCAATCATCTCATATATATGATGTACCATTATATAAAATACTTTCACTAACCAAATCATCATGTGTGGCTGTACTCTTCGGCAGAAGGAACTATGCCATTAGCACGAAGTACAGTTAGACCACTGAGATAGGCGCATAGTCGTAATAAAAACAAGAACACCTATATTGTGATGAAGAATTGTTGCATTTAGAACATAATCTTTGACATGAACTGATTTTTCAATATCACACTTTACCACGCAATAAAAAAATAAGATCAATCAATTAAAAATCACATTGAAAGTGATTCACTAATGTCGTTTTCGTTTTTGCGGTGTAGCTACACCGGTGCTACACTGCCGAACACCGAAAAAAATTAGGGTGTAGCTATCGGTTGCACCTTTGTTTACAAAGAAGTGATGATGAACTGTCAATGACTCGCACTTATTGCTGCTTACACTACACCGGTGTAGTGTAGTAAAAACGAAAACGACATAACTAATTATGTTGATTAATTTGAAATAAAACTTAAAAATGTATTGCAAATTATTCAAATTAATACTGCTTACTGATACTTTCATGATTTCCTTCAAAAATACCTTGAACCGTTACCTCTTCTAGGCATTTTAAAGATTTATCAATACTTTGCAGTACATTCTGTAACAAAAAAGACAAATTAAAATACATAGAAGCAATGGAAATTTACCATGTTGCAGATTTCAAAGCAGTATGTTGCTCCATCCTATTGATCCAGGAACCAAGTGGAGACATTTTTTTGCTAATAGGTAATGATAGCTGTACTCGTACATAATTGTTAAATTAATGATCTTGAAAACAGCGTACACGTTTGGATGATACTTTTACACTTCACTACATATCTAGACTCTCTCTAGTAATGATTATTCTTCTTATTTACTGGAAGGGAAAACTGTCAATAAATAAACAACTACGTGATTGCTTTGATTGGTTTTAAAATTATGTCTTTATGCTACATTCGCACTACTGAGCTAAATCATGTTACGTGGCTATTTTGATATCGGATTTTTGCTGATAATTATTATACCGTCCGATGGTGGTGGTGTAGTGGCAAGCATGATTGCCTCTCACCCCAAAAAACATGAGTTCAATCCCAGTCGGCGCCGCCGGGATTTTCTGAGGCATAACATCTCTGATCACGCCTAGGGTAGTAAAGCCGTTGGTCCCCGGTCCATGAGTTTATGGGTCGATAGGTAAAGTCCAGGTGTTGGAGCTGCCTCCCTGGCATTAGTACTCAGTACGGAAAACAAGATCGACGGAAAACAAATCAAGGAAAAAAACCTTGTAGCATGTTACAGCTCCGAAGTTCGCACATTACATTATATTAGCGATGGTCCACACCTTCACTACTTTCCTTAATGCAGGAATGAGATACATTTGTATGTCAGCGAAACAATAATTTTATTTTATTTTATTTTATTTAATGCTGCAATTTTATACCCAAGCTTCTGAAAGCGAAGGTAAATATGATTTGACTTGACTTGTTGTGCTGGAAAATGACGCTGGAAATTTGAATTGCAAAATTTAGCTTTCGTAATATGCGCTTGCTTCACACTTGTGAATGCCGAACACATTTTACGTTAGCATCTATATTGTTCACCCGATCAACGTTAAGAGTCATTCCTGTGAACCTCTAAGACATGTCTCCCTCAATTGAAAAGAGCTACTCCCGTCAAAACACAGTGCACTACTCGATTGTGCTATGCGCGAGTAGCACCCGTGCAGCCCAACTACTCTAACTCAGGTATGAAATCACTCTCTCCTTTGTCTCTTTCTCCTACCAAATATAGGAGACGCGCACAAGTATTTGAGAGAAACACAAGTGTTTTTTGCACCGCTCCGTGTTATTTGCCTATCCCTGATCCCAACAAACAATTTTAGCTGCAGCTTAGCTTATACAGGCAAAAATTAGCTGCATAAGGAAAATTTTGGCTGTATAAGCTAATCTACAGCTAAAATTGTTTGTTGGGATGTCAAAGCCTGCCGGAAGTTGCGTCGTTCATCAAGAAATACCATAAGGGCGAAGATGCGGTGTTCTGGCCGGTTCTGGCATCGGCCCACTACTCGAAGCGATCGTTTGAGGAGATGGAGCGGCTGAATATCGATGTGGTACCCAAGTCGGCGAACCCGCCCAACGTCCCCCAGCTGCGTCCCATCGAGAATTTCTGGGCCAACCTGAAGTGTAAGATCTACTCGAACAATTTTGTCGCGAAAACTGAGGAGGAATTGATAAATAAAACGAAGAAAGAGCTCAAAAACATGCCTACACGCCTATTTCCGTCTGCCATGGCGAATGTTCCGGTTAACTGCCGGAAGGCCCATCGCAAGGGCGTACAATTTTTTTGCAAGTAAGCTAATAATTACCTTCCATGGGAAATTTATCAAAAGAAATTATCTGTCTTAGCTTTTTTTTATCACCATCCGAAAAAAGTCCATTTTTTAATGCAAACGTTAGAAGCGTAAATGGAAATGCAATAAGAGCTTGTTCCAAGCTTCAGAACAGCCATAAGCAGCTGACTAAGCCAGATTTGCTTGTATAGAGGTTGAATAAAGGTTGAGTAAAGGCTTGAGCAGTGCTGCAAAATTTCGACAATACACGGTGATACTCAAAATTCTGCTTTGGTCACTCGTTTGAGCTAACAGTCATCGTCAAGGCAAACCATGTCAATTGTCAGTAGCATTTTTGTCAGTGACGAACATGTGCTGATTTGTTTATTAGCTAAATTTGAAATGAAATTAAATGGCAAGAGCAAAACAATTATATGGAGCCATTAAAGTGAATAAGCATCTACGTCCTGAACTGCTTGGATAACAATAATGTGACTCAGAATGCAAGAAATAACACTTTCTGTTACTAGGTGAATCTTTGTCATTGACGAAAAAATGAATGAGATTTTGACAAAGATTTTTTTGAGGATCAAGTCCATCATTGACTATGTGAAAAACAATTTTGTCAATATCGCGCAAAAGTCTGTCAATGACAATGACAAATCTCAGCACTGTGCTTGAGGCTGTATAAATGAAAAGAGCAAAGCGTTTACATTGTGAAAATTGTTAGTTGAGTATTGGCTTACCGACCGAGAGCTTGAAAAAACATGTTAGTCATATTTCATAACCTACTTGATCAGAAAGCTTTGATCATACGAATGGACAGTTACTCTTAAAACTGCGTGCTATACAGGTAGAAATAAATAAATCACAAATTGTATTTTTCAGAACTGCAAAAAAATGTTGTATGCAGCTCGTTGCAAAACTCGTTCTTTTTAGCACTCTTCGTAATTATCTAACCTGGCATGTTTTTCTATTCGGCAAGCCTCGTTGGATAAATGCTTCTTCTTCTTCTTCTTATTCGCATTTCAAGGTTATTGCTTAGCGCATATTAGCTTATTGCGTGCTCTCAACTTAGTGTTCTAAGTGCACTTCCACAGTTATTAATTGAGAGCTTTCGATGCCAATATCAATGCATGAATTTTTATATTGTGTGGCAAGCACAATGATACTCTATGCCCAGGGAAGTCGAGAAAATTTCCAACCCGAAAGATTCCCTCGACCGGACCGGGAATCTAACCCACCGCCTCCGGCTTGGTAATACCGTGCCTTTACAGACAAGGCTATGAGGCCCCAAATGGATAAATGCACTACATATATATATGTATATATAAATTACAGTACCCCCTGAAGAAGGCAC